CATTGCATTGCAATGATTACAATCCCCTCCATGCATCATCAAACAACCAAAGGGTATACCCCACAATCCTGCCCCCTGGCCATCAGCACACAGCCCCTCTCCCTCCCTGAGTCCAGAGTCCCCAGCCGCTCCATCTCCCCATGTCATCGTCTCTGCGTCTCTGCCTCCATCTCTGGCATCACCCTTCTCTGGATAGGGTCCCACACTCTGCTCTTGTCCCTTGATGGTCCCAGGGACCTCCACTCCTGAACTGCAAAATCAACTATTCCCCTCCTTTTGTTACAAAATGTCTACCTTTACATTTACATTTCCAACCGTCACAGTCAGTCCTGATAGCAATTATTCACTATTGAACTACAAGAGTCTTATCCCCATCTTCTTTCATTGGCCTAGTCCAGACAGGTTGGAAATCACTCAGCGGAGATTCCACATTCCCCCACACCCTCTGGAACTAGGCTCCCTCATGAAAGCTTGTAAGTGAATCACTTCTTGCCTTTGTAGCACCCCCTCCCTCAATTTTGGGGAGCGAATATCTACGTTGCCCATCCCTGTCAACCCTGTGTACCAAAGGGGTGAGAGTGATCCTCACTGTAAAGATTTGTTCCCTCTTTTGAGCTACTACATCCATAAGTATAGGTCAAGTTCATCAAATTGTATCAGATTACTCTTTTTTCCTCTTCTGTCTTCCTCTAGTCAAGTTCTGATCAGCCCTTGAAGCCAGGTCAAATGGGTACTATCTGCAAGTATGAGTGTTCTTGTGCATCTCCCCTCACTTCATATCAGCTGAATGCTTCACTCTCCTCTCTAGTCCTCTGTGGCCATGTCCCCATCTCTGGGCCCAGGAGTCCCCAGATCTCGCCATACTGCTGGCCAACCAGGTCTCAACCCAGGTTGACAGGAGTCTATTGAACGTGGTCAGACTTAGTTACAACTTCATTGCTGTTTTCCCCCCACTTCCCATTATCACTAAGGAGCTCTGGTAGCATAGTGGTTACAAATCGGGCTGTGAACCTTAGGGTCAGAAGTTCGAAACTACCAGCTGTTCCACAGGAGAAAGATGAGGCTTTCTGGTCCCATAAAGATTTACAGTCTCTGAAAGCCTGTTCGGGGTAGCTATGGGTCAGAATCGACTCGACAGCACTTAATCTAATCTCCCCTTATCGGTAGACCAATGTGGCAGTGACTATGTTTTATGCATTGTCAAAAACTCAAGAGTGGTGTGGCACCTGGCTCCAAAAACACTTGTTGTGTTGTTGTTACATGCCGTGGAGTCGGTTCCAATCCATAGCGACCCTGTACAGGGTTTCCAAGGCTGTAAATCTTTACAGGAGCAGAAAGATCATCTTTCTCCTGCGGAACAGCTGGTAGTTTCGAACTGCTGACCTTAAGGTTCACAGCCCGATTTATAACCACTACACTACCAGAGCTCCTTTCCAAAAGCACTAATACTGGTTTAATTGAACTGAACCACTTAGCTGGGGTGGGGGGGAACAAGAATCATTTGCATCGTTGACACTGAAGACATGTTTAGGAAGCACTTCCCAAAGACAGTATCCCTTTTCCAGTCACTAGATTTTTGATGAGGAGAAGTAGGATGTAATAAAAAGAACAGGAATAATAGAAGTGGAACATCAGGTCAAGGGAAGATTCTGGAAGGATAATTCAAGTTTCACTGATATCTTGGTCAGTATAGTATTGAGGGTTGGGGCGCCTTCCCTACTTTTCCTTTCATCCTTCTTCACATTATTTTTTCCCCTCATGCAACCCCAAAGGGGCAAGAAGAGACTTTAATTAAGGGGGGAGGATCCACCAGATAAGAAAAAGTACAGCTCCCCCTGCCCACCAGGGAGCTGTGGAGAATTCACCTCCCCACCTCCAATACAGGCACTAACTACACTGACAGACGAGGGGAGACAGTGGCCCCAGCTCCTACATAGCCACCTAGTCAGCCCTTGACCCCAAACAGTGCTAGAAGCTACCAGAGGGTCCTCACAGCTTCTACTTGGCCCAACAAGGCTTGGGAATTAACAGGGCAGGGGAGAGAAACTGGAGTTTGCACCCACTCTCCCCACCTGGGGCCACATAGGAAGGAAAAGACCACAGCCAATAATAATGTATAATCACTGGGACCATTCAGTCACTCAAAGTTGTTTGTTTCCAAAAAAAACAAAAACAAAAGCAAAAAATCCCACAAAAGGTTAGTTTCCTACATGGACAGAGTTTAAAGTTTCAAGATGTTTTAAAAGAAACCTGTCCAGCCCAGGGGAGAGAACATCAAAAGCCAGCCTGGGCAGGCAATTATGGCCCTGGGGCAGGTCGGCTGCTGCTTTCTTGCCCAGCTAGCAAGCACACCACACCCCTCCCTCATGCCCACCCTGACCCAGCTCCCCACTCCAGTTGCTGGCTGCTGCCACCCCTGCCGCCACTCTGGGAAATAGCTCCAGGACGCCTTTGCAGAGAAACGGGGAAGGCCATGTGATCCATGGTTTAAAAATTCTTGAGGAACTCCACAGCCACCATAGGCGCTCAGGCGTTGATGGACAGCTTCAGCTCACTGATCTCCTTGACGATCTCCTCCATGAAGTGGATCATGAAGTCCACCAACTAGTGTTTGTACATCTGCTCTGTATGGAAGTCGGTGATCAGAATGCTAATGTCGTACCCCTCCACTGGTTTCCTTCCAAGAATAAAGAAGTTCTCTGCTCTCATCATCATGAAGCACGTGAATTTGTGTCATAAAATCTTCTCAATCTCATCAGCCTGTTTCACAGCGATGCTGACTCGGACAGAGTTGATGGAGCCCTCAATCAGAACCTTTTCCTTCTCATTCCTGCTGATGGTCGCAGGTTGTAATAGGAGCTCTTTGCTATTCCTGACTTCCACCTCTAGCTTGTTGTATCGCTCCACCACCTGGGAAGAGAAGTTCTCCAGACAGAAGGCAGCCTGCAGCGTGGCCCGCTTCACTCAGGTAGGGGCGGAGAGTGACAGGAGAGTGGCCGTCAGTGGACGCGCTGGCTGGGCCGGAAAGAGGAAGTGTTCACATTATTTTTTGCACTGACCAATTGCTGTCAAGTCGATTCCAACTCATGTCAATCCTATGTGTGTCAGAGGAGAACTATGCTCTATAGGGTTTTCAGTGACTGATTTTTCTGCTGTCGATCACCAGGCATTTCCTCTGAGGTACCTCTGGGTATATTTCAACCTTTCAGCTAGCAGCATGGAGCGTCAACCATCTGCACCACCCAGGGATGTCTTCAGTCTTATCTGCTGCCATCAGTCATTCCAGCTCAGTGACTGCAGCACAGACTAGAACTGCCCCATGTGGTTTCCAAGGCTGTAAATCCTTACAGAAGCAGACTGTGTTACAGCTTTCTCCCAAGAAGCAGCTGATGGTTTCAAACCATCAACGTTCACTGCACAACCAGGGCTACTTGTAGTATGAAGGCTTGTTAAGTCTCCGGGGTCCTCAACATCTTATAACATCAGGTCATCACAAATTTCAAACCTGTCATCGCTAAGGCTGTATCTGATGACACATGTTTTCCTCTTGTCTAAAAGTGACACTCCAGTAAACTTCCCCATAGACTTTTAATGAGTAGTTTCAAAGTTTAAGCGGTTACCCCTATCTTCTGTGCTTCTGGTGTAGCACTGTAGAATAAGCACTGGCCTGCTGACCACAAGATCAGCAGTTCAAGTCCATCAGCCACTCCTCAGAAACCCTATACAGAGTCGCTATGAGTGACAATCTGCTCAATGGCACTAATAACAACAACAACACCCCTATCTTCTGGGGTCCTGGTGTGGGGTAAGCGCTGGACTACTAGCTACCAGGTCAATGATTCAAGCCCACCAGCCACTCCTCAGAACCCCTGTGTTATTGTTGTTAAGTGCCATGGAGTTGGTTTTGACTCATAACAACCTTGTGTAGGGTTTCCAAGAAGTGGTTGGTGGGCTCGAGCTGCCAATCTTGTGGTTAGTAGTTCAGTGCTTATCCTACAGAGAGTGGCTGTGAGCCGACATCAACTCCACGGCACTTAACAACAACTCCTTTCTTCTGTGGGGCAGTTGTACACTGTGAGTCAGAATGACTTGGTGACAATGGGTTTGCTAAGGCGCCCTGATAATGCGACAGTTTTATAGAGTTCAGCTGCTTACCCAAGGTTGGTGGTTCAAACCCACCAGCCACTCAGCCAGAGAGATGTGGCAGTTTACATCCATAAAGATTAACTTTTTGCTGTCAAGTTTGACTCGGAGTGGCCCTAAAGGACAGAGTTGAATTGTCCCTTAGGTGTTGAAAGGCTGTAACCATGACAGAAGTAGACAACACACAACAACAACACCCCTATCTTAGTGTGATGATTCATGAAATAAATAGCAATGAACCATTTTAAAGTTTAGGAAAGAAACACATTATGAAAACCCAAGATATTAATGCTTGAATTGGTGCAGACAAAGATTTAAGTCTTGCTTCTTTAGAAAGTCTTGAGACCAAAGACCATAATAAAACAGACTTGAGTTTGTTCAGAAGAATATTGTTCCTGTTCCAGCCCTGTCCTTACTACTTTTTGTGTTATTATAAACTCCTTGGCCTTCTGACCAAGTTGTTTCCAGCATTTGGCTTGATGCCATGCCATACCATGAAGTCAGCTCCTACAAGAAATCACAAAGCAGGATTTTGACATGAAGGAATGTCCCTCATTTAGAATTCCCTTCAGGATAAGATACTGGAGGTATCACTGCAGGGAATTCTTGAGAGAAAACAATAGGAGGATGACCTGTTGACAGGATCAAGCAGTGTGTCTATCTGGGGTCAAGGGCAGAGCAATGGAAATCTTATCCCAGTCATCCCCTTCCTCTGACACAACCCTACCTGTCATGATAAAGCCTATCTTCATCAGAGCTTGGAGACCTTTTTAAAAAGTGCTTGAAAAAGAAGGGGACGACGGAAAACTGGGACTCACAGGATTTTCCAGGCTGTTACTGCTGGCTGATCCAGAAGGATGGTACCATTTCTGTTTCTCAGCTGCCTTTCTATCATCATCACACCAACGTTAACAATGGGTGAGTCTTGAGCAAAGTGTTCAGCACAATGCACTTTTTGTTGTTGGAATTTGCTTTGGTGCCAGAAGTCAGTCCCTTAGATACTGGTTGTAGAGTAGTGTCAAAGAATTCACTGATAACTTATTTTCAGAGAACTGTTTTCCGAGAATTTTCTGTTACAAGTTCCATTTGACCTCTCATCTGGGTATTGAAAATTTCTATCTATGTGCCATATCCAATAACTTACTATATCTTGGAGTACATATAAAAGAAATTTTAACCCTTTTATATCCTAGGAACTTTTCCAGTTCCAACTTCAAGAGCAAATATGTATATTTTGTTGTTGTTTTTAAATGACATCGAGTCAGTTCAGACCCGTAGCCACCCTGTATAGGGTTTCCAAGGAGCAGCTGGTGAGCTTGAACCTCTGACCTTGCGGTTCAAACTGACTTTGCAGCCCAGTGCATTAACCCACAGTATCACATCAAGACTCCAAATATATATAAAATGTATATGTATGTTATTAAACGCCGTTGAGTTAGTTCCAACTCATAGTGACCCTGTATATGTTTTCTGAGGAGCAGCTGTTGAGTTTGAGCCACCAACCTTGTGGTTCAAATTGATCTTACAGTCCAGTGCTTGTCCTACAGTGCCACACAGGACTCCTACATACAGAGTGACTATAAATCTGAACCAATTTGACAGCACTTAACAACACAAATATAGATATTGATTTTTAGAATACAGTACAGTGTTTCTTCTTGAATGAATCAGGGGACTCTGTTCTCATAAAAGGCACAGATCTGGACAAACCAAATCTCTCCATCTTGACATCTGTAAATAAGACCTTTTAAATAAATAGAATGAATCTTAAATAGTCCCAGTCCTCAGGCTAGATGCAAAACTGGCCAACAAGGAAAGAAGAAATGTTTACATTCCAGTTATTAAAAATTTCTCTTTCTCTCTGTTCAGTAAAATTTAAGTTCTAATTGGAAAGAGTGTAAGAGGAAGAGAACCTTCCCTAGACATTTGTAGCAGCTCAATATTCAATTGGCCCTGATTTGATTCCTCACATTAAAAATAAAAATAAACTTGATAGCCTAGAAAGACATAGAAACTAAAATGTACTGTAGAGCCGTGAATGGGCTCCTGTAACAAAGACATAAGGTAAAAACAAAGGAAATCTGAATCAAGTCTCGGCCTTAAAGAATGATCATGTTCATTAACAGCAAACATGATGTGAATAATAATAGAGGACACTGAAAGCTGGGTATATGGGAACCCCGTACTATCGTCTCTATTTTCTAAAACACTATTTTCTCTGTAAATCTAAAGTGGCTGTGTTTTTTTTAAGTAGACTTACAGATAACTTTGCTTAGACCCCAAACCAAACCCATTATGCGAAGCTTAAACCTATTTGAATTCATTCCCGCTGTAGAACTGAGCAGAGCTGCCCTCTTGGGTTTTCAGGGCTGTTCATCTTTACTGAAGCAGACTGCTATATCTCCCTCCCCCACCCCAACAGCTGATGGGCTCAAACCCCTGACCTTTCAGTTAGCAGTTAAGTGCTTTAACCATGGATCCCCCAAGGCTCCTTTAACTTTTACTACTCTCCCAATATCTGCTGCTGATTATTTTAGAAATCATGCCCTATCTCCCCTACAATAGGAGAGGAAGTGAACTTTTACAACTAGTGCAAGAAATGACAGTCAAATTTAAGGGAAAACTTATAAATCAAGAAATAGTTATTGAGGGGAGCCATTAAAAATTGAATATCTATTTTTTGTAAATTTAGAGCCAGGGAGATGAACCAAATATTTCTATGAATTCATAATCACCTGTGAAATTGACCTGCAATCTTGCTACAGCTGCAAAGAACCAGGGAGGAAATTTCTCCTTCTGACAGGGGAGAGTTTAGTCGGAGGGCATTTCTTCCACTCCAGGACTATCAAATGATGGTCTAGGGCTCAGCTGGGCCCTCAAAAGCATTCTATAGAAGTGGGTTGCCCTGGCCAACAGCAACCCTGCAACTGTATTATTGATATGAATGCAATACTTTACTTACATCTCGTCCCTAACTTGTATTCTTGTTGGGACCATTAACACTAAGCCATACCTTGCCTACATGTGACTGTAGTGTAGGCAGTATGCATGAATTTGAAGTGTACACTGAGGAAATCTAGAACATTTTCTCAACAACTCAGGTATTATGATCGTGGTCTCTCCACATCCGTTGTGTACTATTTGCTAGTATTAAATTCCAGATCTACAAAATGTATCCTCCCTAAAGGGGATCCTCTGCCTACCCCCCAAATAACTACTAAACCCATTGCCACCCCGTTGATTCCTACTCCTAGCAACCCAAGGACAGAGTAGAACTGCCCCATAGGGCAGGAATCTTTATGGAAGCCCACTACTATATCTTTCTCCCGCACGGCAGCTGGTGGGTTCAAACAGCCGACCTCTGGATTAAAAGTCGATCTGAAACCAAACCCTTTCCCATCGAACTGATTCCAGCTCATAGCCTGTGCTGTGTTAAATCACATGTATTCAGATAGCATTCCTTTCTGAGATTTCTTGGTTTCCTGTTCTTCATAAGAACAATTTACCTAAATTAATTCAATGTTTGCCTGAAGTTGAAGATAGCAGTGTGGATATTGAGGATATTTGTATCTTTAGTCATTAAAATGTTTTTGATGAAATATTTGTCCGTGTCGTTTCACTAAAAATTAAGCTAAAATAAATTTGCAGTATTTTGGCTATGATAGTGATGCTGTGATTAATTATGCATCTATTTAATGTCATGCTATTCCTGGTATGGCATTGTGGGCTAATGCATCAGACTGCAAAGTCGTTTGAACTACAAGATCAGTGGTTCAAGCTCACCAGCTGCTGTTTGGAAACCCTATACAGAGTTGCTATGGGTCTGAATCAATTCGACGGCACTTAATAACAACAATTGTCAATAAGCTGGTGGAATATATACCAAATTCATTTTGAGAGTATCTTTGTAACTGCTTGCCACACTACTGTGCATTTCAAAGCAGCTGATGTGTCGCCCCTGAGGCCTTTTCCCTTTCAGTAGAATGAGCTTTGCACATTCATTATCAAAGCAAGCTTCCTTACTAAGAAAAAAATCTGTCTGCAACCTTCCTTACAAACGGCCATCCAAGTGCACTTTTGAATACTTCCAAAGATGGGGAGATTCCCACTCAGTAAGACAGAGTCTCCCTTTAATAAACGGCTGAACAGTAATATACTTTCTCATAACAATTTGTTCTCATCCTTATAACAGCAACCACAACAAAACCTTACAAACCACTGACAACAAGGCAGTCCGACTCAAAGTGACCTCATAGGAGAGGAGAAGGGCCCCATAGGGCTTCCAAGACTGTGAGCCTTTAGGTGGATTCCAAACCATGAACCTTTTACATAGAAGTCAAGCACTTTAAGCCCTGTGCCATCAGAGTTCATGACATCCTTGTAACAGAACCCCTTACCCTCCTGTCCTAGATTGCCGAAGACTGATAAGTATATCTTTGGCCTTCTTTTCTCTAGACTCTAGTTCACAAATTCTTCTCAGTAAATCATTTTAGGTCCCCTTCTAGTCCAGTTGGTTTCCTCTAGACACCAAGTTTGTACGTTATTTTCATATAATATAGCCTCTACATATGAACACAATACTCTAAATGTGTGCGGAATACAGAGTTCTATGAGCCTACAATCTTACCGTCTCTTGTTCTGTGAATAAAAATGTTAGACTGTTGCTAACACTAACTCTTCAATAGCTTCTAAATAATTTGGTAAAGGGAATTTATGAAAGTTGTTTAAGTGAACTTGAAGAATCTTGAGCTGCTATTTTGGAGATTTTTTGATGATGTCTTTCGTGAAAGGCCCAGGAGGTGGTTGGATGGAGGGTGTGGTCATTGTAATTAATCTGAAACATCACAAGGTACGTCCTGGGTGTCCTTTTCAACCCTAGATCCTTGTTCTGCTTACATCAGTCTGAATGAAGAGTGGAGGAACACTGATCATCAATTGGATAAGTCTCAAGATTCCCCTCTCTGTGACCACCACGTGGATGGGGAGTGGTACCGCTTCACGGGCATGGCAGGAGAGGCCATGCCCACCTTCTGCATACCAGAAAACCACTGTGGAACCCACGCACCCATCTGGCTTAATGGTAGCCACCCATTAGAAGGTGATGCCATTGTGCAACGGCAGGCCTGTGCGAGCTTCAATGGGAACTGCTGCCTCTGGAACACTACGGTGGACATCAAGACTTGTCCCGGAGGCTACTATGTGTATCGTCTGACAAAGCCCAGTGTCTGCTTTCATGTCTACTGTGGTCGTGAGTATCTGCCCCGTGCGCGCTCTTCTCTCACTACAGTCTGCCATATGAAATTCAGTTACTGGGGACTGCAGTATCTCAGATCTAAACAACAGTGATTTTGAGCACTGCTAACCTCAGTGTGTCATTTCTGAAATCTGTTCTGGGATTTCTGAAATTTTTTCTGAAATAGAATGAGAAAGGAGCTATGACGTTGACCAGTCCTTATTTTTTATTTTGTTTTCATTCCATTCAATCAAACATTACAAAATGAAATGTCAGTTTCAGTTATGTAAAGAGTGGATTCCCAACTTTTTGAGTGTGTTCTTGTTGCTAAGTGCCATCGAGTTGGTTCCAACTTAATAACAACCTTGTGTAGAGTTTCTGAGGGGCCTCTGGTGTTAGTAGTCCAGTGTTTATCCGATAATAGCACACTAGGATTCCATTTGAGTATAGAGGATTCCTTTTTAACATATAACAAAATCAAAAACCAAATTTACTGAGGTAGGTCAATTCTAACTCATGGTTACCCATAAGTGAAACTGCCCCCAGAGGGTGTCTCGGCTATAACCTTTACAAAAAGCACATCATCAGGCCTTTATTCTGTGGTGTCACCGGATGGGTTCAAACCACCAACCTGTATATTAGCAGCCAAGCCCAGACCATTTGTCCACCCAGGAAATATACATACATATTTGTTGTTCTTGTTAGGTGTCAGTTCTGACTCACAGCAACCCTGTGTAGGGCTTCCGAGAAGCAGCTGGTAGATTTGAAGCATAGACTTTGCAGTTAGCTTATCCTACAGAGCCACACCAGGATCCCATATGTATACATATGCACACACACAGAGGTTAAGTCAAAAAGTCTTGCTGCAAAATCACAGACACGTTTAACAAAAATGTCAAAAGGTAAAACCATTGTTTCCAACATATCCTCCATCTAGGTCTATAGACTTCTAAAGGCAGGGCTGCCATCTCTCTAACCCTTCCCTGATGTCCTGGTGTGGCACTGTGGGTTAATGCGCTGGACTGCAAGGTCAGTTTGAACTGCAAGGTCTATGGTTCAAGCTCAACAACTGGTCCTTGAAGACCCTATATAGGGTCACTGTGAGTTGGAACTGACTCGATAGCACTTAACAACAACAACAAAGATTTCTGCTCTCTTCAATTTACATCATGTCAAAACAACAGTTTGGGCAGCCTCAAAGGACTCAAATCATGTTCCTTTTAAAGCTCCTTCGAGTTTGGGGAACAAACGAAGTCTGAAGGGACCAGGTCAGGGCTGTAGGGTGGATGGGGCAAGGCTTCCCAACAAGATTCTCCTCGGACAGTCCTTGCTACCATCCAGGAATGAGCAGGTGCAATGTCAGGATGGAAAAGCAAAACATTCTCAGCACACCTTTCCAGACATTTTCCTCACCAATGCAATTCTCAATATTCTTAAAACATCATCAAAATAGGTCCCTGTGATCAGCCTTTGAGAAAATCTCTCAACATTTCCCCTTGGGAATCCTAAAAACAGTTGTCATAACCTTCTGAGCTGACCTCTGTGCCTTGAATTTGCCTGACTTGGCCCAGCAAATCCCCTCAGAAGCTACTGCTTTGATTGGACCTGATTTTTAAAGGCACCCTAAGGAGTCCTGGTATAGCACTGAAGGGTACACGCAGGACAGCAAGGTCAGTTTGAACCACAAAGCAGGTGGTTCAAACTCACCAGCGCCTCCTTGGAAACCCTATACTGGGCCACTATGAGTTAAAACGAACTCGATGGCACATAGCAACAACAATGAGACTAAGATGAGGATGCTGCTGAGAGAACTTGGCTGCAGCCATCCACTGATTGCAGAGACAGGTTTAAGCAGGTTTTATTTGGAATAAACCCATGCATGTATGAACTAAAACTCTAGTAATAATACTTTTTGACTTACCATCAAATATGAGGGACTTCAAAAAGTTCAAAAATGGAAAATATGGAATTAAAAGGTAATAGAAATTTTCCTTTAATTTTTGAAGCATATATATATATATATATATACTTATGAACTCTTGGTGTGGCGCTGTAGGATCAGCACTGGACTGCAAACCACAAAGTCGATGGTTCAAACCTACCAGCTGCTGTTTCTCAGAAACCCTACACAGAGTTGGTATGAGTTGGAACTGACTCGAAGAGCTTGTTGTTGTTAAGTGACTTTGAGTCAGTTCTGACTCATAGCGACCCTCTACAAGATTTCCAAAGCTTTTTACATCCATGTGTGGGAGCAGAAAGTCTCATCTTTCTTCCAAGAAGTAGCTGGTGGGCTCAAACCACATATATTGTGATTCGAAGTCTAGCGTTTATCAGGTGGAGCCACTGCACTCGTATATATGTGTGTGTGTGTGTGTGTGTCTACATGGTGGTTGGTGGTGGTGGTTATGTGCTGTGGAGTCAGTTATGACTCACAGCAACCCTGTACAGGGTTTCTGAGGCTGTAAATCTTCATGGGAGCTGAAAGCCTCATCTTTCTCTCTCAGAACAGCTGGCAGTTTTGAACTGCTGACCTTGAAGATTAGCAGCCTGATTCATAACCACTATGCTACCAGAGCTCCTTATATGTCTACATGCACACACACACACATGGGAGTCCTGGTATGGCACTGTGGTTAATGCACTGGACTGCAAAGTCAGTTTGAATCACAAGTCAGCAGTTCAAGCTCACCAGGTGATTCTTGGAAACCCTATACAGGGTCGCTATGGGGCAGAACCAACTTGACAGCACTTAACAACAACAACAACACACACATATATATACACATATGTGTTTGTACGTATATATGTGTTTGTTTATATATGTATATATATAAAATATATGTATGTATATTTATTTTTATATCAGACATCATGTGGTATCCATATGGTATCATGTACATACATGAGTAATAAGCTACTTGAGTTCTGGACTACTTTTAAACAATTTTCTTTATTATTAGTCCTAGCAAAAGCTGCATACACATAGAGATAAGAGTACCTAGAAGACAAACACTGTTGTGTGTGTCAAGGCAGCTCTGACTCCCAGTACTCCATGTGACAAAGAAGAACGGACCCATAGGGTTTTCTGGCTGTAATCTTTACCATAGCAGATTGCCCAGTCTTTTCTCTACAGCGGCTGGTGGGTTTGAACAGTCAACCTTTTAGTGAGCAGCCAAGAGTTTAACCACTATGTCAGTGGAAATTTTTTTGAAAAAGATCCCTAATATATACCTTATGTTTGGTGAGGTTTTAGACTGGTAGTAAGTCTTGGGCCATCTTATGGCCTCTGGGTCTGAAGTTGGGAATCCTTTTCCTGAGCAGTTCATCGAATTATGTAAACCATAGCCAAACAGAAATTCCCTGGGTGTTGACAAGGAACATAGACCATGAGTGAACTCATGGACCTCGCCCCTAACCAGCAGTCTTTGTCTTCCCATAGATTTTTACGAAATCTGTGATGAGGTCTGTCATGGAAGCTGCGAGGAAACCAGTGAGTGTGTATGCCCTCCAGGAACCACGCTAGGCCCTGACAAGCAGACATGTCTTGGTAAGAAAAAAATCATGAAGTATAAACAGACTATAGAGATCAAATCCAATAGGAAAAAATGGTGGCGCTTAGAGTTGGTAACTTTGAACACTTGGGATGGCATGTGATCCATGTCTAAACCTCAAGTCAAATTTATATAGTGATTAAGGATAGTCTATAACTATATGGAGTCCTGGTGTGGAGCTGTGGACTAATGCGTCAGACTGCAAAGTCATTTGAACTGCAAGGTCGGTGGTTCAAGCTCACCAGCTTCTCCTTGAAAACCCTACACAGGGTCGCTATGGGTCTGAATCAACTCGATGGCACTTAACAACAACAAATAACTATACTAACATTACAAAGAATGAGTTTTCCAGAACACTTGATTGTGCTCATAAGGAACTTGTATGTAGACCCAGAGGCAGTTGTTTGAAAAGAACAAAGAGATAGATTGTTTAAAATCAGGAAAGGTGTGTACCAGGGCTATATTCCTTCAGCATATTATTCAATCTGTACTCTGGCAGCATAGTGGTTACAAATCGGGCTGCTAACCTCAAGGTCAGCAAGTCGAAACTATTAGTGGTTCCACGGGAGAAAGATGAGGCTTTCTGCTCCCATAAAGATTTACAACCTCGGAAAGCCTATACAGGGTCACTATGAGTTGGAAACAACTCCATGGCACATAACAACAACATGCTGAGCAAATAATCTGAGAAACTGGATTATATGAAGAAGAGCATGGCATCAAAATTGAAGGAAGATTCATGAGCAATCTATGAATTGAAGATGATACAGCCTTGCTTGCTGAAAGCAAGGAGGCCTTAAAATACGGCTGAAGCTCAAAGATCACAACCTTCAGTATGGAGTACACACCTCGATGTAAAGAAAGCAAAATTCCTCACAACCGAGTTAATAAATAACATCAATAGAATAAATTTTTAAAAAAACTGAAGTTGTCAAAGACTTCATTTTGCACAATCAATGCTCACGGAAACAGCAGCCAAGAAATTTGCACTAGGTCAGGGGTAGGGAACCTTTTTTTCTGCCAAGGGCCATTTGGATATTTACAACATCGTTCATGGACCATACAAAATTATCAACTTAAAAATCAGCCTGCTATATTTGGTCAACCGTTTCATTACCTCACCCCTAATGTAATGATAAGAACTTTGTAGGATAAGCACTGGACTACAAGGTCAGTTCAAACTCACCAGTCGCAGACATTTTCCTCAAAGATCAGCTACATTTTCTTCAAAGAGCAAACACTCAGTCCCTAGGTTATTCAGAGCATCAATCCTCAGAAACTCTACACAAGGTTGCTATGAGTTGAAACCAACTCATTGACATTTAACAACAACAATGTAATGGCTGGAATTGCTTTTCTTTGGTGAGGTGTGTGATGTTAGTTAGTATTGATGATGTTGCTACTCACAACTGCTTTTCCAGGTTTGCATTGGTCCGTCTGGAGCACAGTAGACCTGTTGCGTTGGTAAGCTTTGAGCAGCAAGTTGTTCCAAACACAGACAACACATATCTCCTCAAAGTGGACCTCACGCAGTGGGAAGTGATTGTACCTAGCTTTCAGCTGAACAATTTCGTGCTGTATACGGGTCATCAGGCACATCAGCTGGTTCCACAGTGAGTGGTGTGGGAAAGATTCTGAATTCCATTTTACTCCTCACGCCCTGGAATCTTTCATTAAATGCCTCAATTCGTTTTGCACATTCACCATCATATTCAAGTGTCAGAGAAGGCCTTTGTCCTTACAGAGTGGGGAAATGCACCGTGTTCTTCTTTTTGAATTGCACTTTCCACGGCCTTAATTTAGTTTCAAATGATTTCACGTTTGAAAGCAGGTTGCGTAGAAGCTGGTTGGGGCCCTGCAGCTTGATGCTCAGCTGGTACTTGGTAAAGTCCACCACGATTGCTAGAGCCACTTGCTACCACTGAGTTCCCTGACAGGCTTTCCCTTCATCTTCATGAACTACTTGACTTCATCACACAGTTCCTAAAAACTCAGCCACTGCAATTCACAGTGATAAACCAGATCACTGAACTCTGAGGCAAGATAATTCAGTAACTCCTTGAACTGGCAGCTATTAAGCCCTCTGCTTTTGACAAAATTTATGCATGAGTCTACTGTTGACATCACATTGTTGAGCCACATGACTGTGCACAGAGACTTTCTTGGTGTATGCTTCAGTGGCTGGCTCATTAAATCACTTGGATCAAGACTGAGACGACTGAGTTCTTTCTTGACGAATGCAATGAACCCTTTTTGTGAGCCAATCATGGCTGGAGTAAGACCACTTAACTTTACAAATGTTCGCTCAAGTGTTTTCATTGATAAAACAAGACTCTCAAACAAGTCCTCACCTCTTGTAGTGTCATGCATGGCTTCCAGTGACAGCAGTTCTTGTCGCATGTCAAACTCTGCAGTTATCCCACCAACAAAAACAGCCTGTTGGGCAGTATTTCATATGTCTGTCGTCTCATCACAAGCCAGAGAGAAATAGTGGAAATCTCCTGCAGTATCTTTCAATGTTTTTTTTTCAATATCTTGTGCTAAATCAGTAATCTGATCTGAGACAGTTCTCCATGACAAATTAATGCCTGGAGACAATTTTACCTTGTCTGATGCTAACTCCACAGCAGCCACCATGCAGTCTTCACAAACTCTCCCTCTACATGAGTTTTCAGCTTCTTTATGGTTAGCTGGCTCATTTCATAACTTGTCTGAATAACCTTGTCTTTGTCACAACGAGGACTCGTGAAAGTGGCTTGTGATTCCAAACTCCACTGCAAAGCATTGATTTTATCCAGATGCACTTGGCCTCCCAATTCATTAAGTTTAGCAAGTTTTGAGCTCTAATGGTTCTCCAGATTGGCCTTTTTTTTTTTCATTACTGCTAAAACATTGCCACAAACCTGGACCAAAAGTTTACCTTGGCTGTCAACAAAAAATAATCATTTGTCCATTTCTCTTGGAAAGATCGACACTCTGCATCAGCTTTGGTTTTCTTTGTGGTTGTCATTAGTAGGATGTCACACTACTTGTTGTAATAACTATCCAGTGTGTGTGGCCAGTGATGTGATTATTTTCCTTTGATGATTGTTCTAATCCTGCATCTTGGATTTGGAATATATCCAATGCTCATATCATCGACTCTTAGGGTCTTTTCTGTGTACTGTCATTTCCTTCATCTTCATCTGAGATTCAGTGTTTGCGAGGATTGTCGATGGTGGATTTGTGGATAAAGATTGTATTGGAGTCATTGTCTGTGTCAACAAAGAAGTGGACAACATCATTGTCAGTCATCAGAGGCCAGGTCATCAACGTCACATGGAATCATTTCATTGAATCTAGTCTCATCATCACCGGATCCCTGTAGTCTCCCCACTGCCGTGTGTTACCACTTTTGAAATGTGGACACTCCCAGTCTGCCTGGCAATGACTATCCTCTCTCTGAGTCACCACATACAGGCAGATGGGACATGAGCAGCCGATGAGAAGCATGCATGTCTGTCCCATCACATACTCATATGTCCTGTCTGTCCAGCAGTCCTTGCTTGTCCCTCAAATTTTACATTATTATTATGATTTACTTAATATATAAATTTATATTGCCATGAAAAAAATTCCTAGATTTATTGAATTTTGAGTCCTGCCTGCAAGGCCAGACCATGTGATTTTGAGGGCCTTAAGATGCCCATGGGCCAGACACTCCCCACCCCTGCACTAGATAAATCTGTTGGACAAGACTTCTCTAAAGTGTTCAAGAGCAAAGTTACTAGTTTGAGGACTAAGGTGCACCTAACCAAAACCATGGTATTTGCAGTTGCCTTATATGCATGTGAAAGTTGGACAATGAATAAGGAAAACTGTAGAAGAATTGATGTGTTTGCGTTCTGGTGTTGAAGATAAACACTTAAAGTTCCATGGTCTGCCAGAAGAACAATAAAATCTATGTTGGAAGAAATAAAACCAGAGTACTCCTTAGAAGAAAGAGTGGTAAGACTTTGTCTCTCCTACTTCGGACATATTATCAGGAGGGACCAGTCCCTGGAGAAGGACACCATACTAGGTAAAGTGCAGGATCAGCAAACAAGAGGAAGACCCCCAATGAAATGGATTGGCTCAGTGGGCTGATGCATTAACAAAAATCGTGAGGCTGGCGTAGGACTGAGCAGTGTGTCATTCTGTTGTGCATAGGGTCACTATGGGTCAAAACCAATTCAACAGCACCTAAGAACAACAATAGAACTATACCTACACTGTCCAATGCAGAGCCGCTAGCTGCATATGGCAGTGGAGGACTTGAAATGGGGTTAGTACAAATGAAAATTTGAGTTTGAATTTTATTTAGTTTTTAACCATTAAAAACTGATAATCAGTTCAGTCATTGAAAAAAATGTTTGGAACAATGTAACTAACTGTAAACTTTTATTACTCTAAACTTAAACCAGGGAGCGTGGTGGCTATAGAATATAAGCACTAGACTGCAAACCACAAGGTTGGTGGTTCAAGCCCATCAGCTGCTACATGGGAGAAAGATGAGGCTTTCTGCTCTCACAAAGATTTACAGCCTCAGATTTACAGGGTCGCTATGAGTCAGACCTGGCTCAATGACACCAACAAAAACAACAAACTTAGACCAAGCTTGAAAATTCAGCATCTGCATTGAGCTATGCTATAAGTCTGAAAATGGAGCCCTGATGTTGTGCTGTGGGATAAGCACTGGATTTTGAACCTCAAGGTAGGTGGTTCAAACCCACCTGCTGCTCTACAGAAACCCTATATACAGTTACTATGAATCGGAACTGACTCAACAGCACTTAACAAACAAGACAAACAAAATGAGTATAAAGTACAGATAGCATATTTTGAGGATTAGTACCAAAAAAAGAAAGAATGATATTTCATTAATAATTGTGAATATTGATTATATAATGAAATGAAAATACCTTACATTTATTTGGTTCCATAAAATATATTATTAAAATTAACTTTCCCTTTTATTTTACTTTTTTAAAGAATGTGTCTACCAGAAAATTACATTACATCGGAGGCTTGTTTTGCAGTTGTCTTAGGCAGCACTGGTCTAGAATTATTGAAGGACTCATTCCTATGCTTCACTAATACCAAGGAGCTTCAAAAAATTCATAGGAAAATTCCATTATCTTTTCATTTAATTTCTCTCCCAACTTTCTTAAGTAGCAAGAAACGGGAGTCAGATTATTTGTTGGCTATTCGGGGTTGTCAAATTGCTTGTGTGTTCTGCTGAGTAAGCAAAGATTGACGATCATCTCATTTCCCTTTAATGTTATAAAGCTTTTTGTATTCAGATGCAGATAGAGCTAAATGAGGTCGATTACACATCCTGCCAAGAAGACCAGCAACAGGGGCGGAATGGGACCGGGATTAGGGTGGTACTGTTGAATACAGTCAAGTCAGTGCCAACCCATAGCAACCTTATTTAGGCTTTCAGAGAAGCAGATGGCAGGTTAGAACTGCTGACCTTGTGGTTCACAGTCAAGTGCTTAGCCTATTCTTTATAAAAAGGCTTTTAATTTTAGAAAAACAGTTGTTCTTCAATCCTCAGTGACCCCCCTGTGGAGCACATTTAAGCCTTACCTAGTGAAGCACTGCGGGTTAATGCACTGAACTATAAATTCGTTAGAACTGCAAGGTTGGTGGTTCAAGGTCACCAGACATTCCTTGGAAACCCTATACAGGGCCACTATGGGTCAGAACTGACTCAATGGCACTTAACAACAACAACAGTAACAGTTGTTGTGAAATCCTGGTGTCGCCCTGGAGGCTGGTAACCAAAGTTTGGAGGTTCAAGTCCACCCACAGACATCTCAGAAGAAAGACCTGGCAATCAACTTCTGAACGGTTATAACCTTGAAACCCTCAAGGTCAGCACTTCAAAACTACCAGCCATTCCATGGGAGACAGATGAGGCTCCCATAAAGATTTTCAGCCTTGGAAACCCTGTACTGTGAGTGAGAACCGACTCCATGCCCCCACCCCACCACCACCACCACTGCCATGAAGTGAATTCCAACTCAGAGTGACCATAGACACAGTTTTCAAGACTGCAAATCTTAATGGCAGCAGACTGCTTTATCTTTTTCACTTGGAGCAGCTGGTGGATTTGAACCACCAGTCTTGTGGTTGGCAGCCCCATGCCTAACCCACAGTACAGTGCTATATAGCTAAGTGAATTTGTTGTTAGCCACTTGGACTCATAGTGACCTTGTGTATAACAAGAAAATGTTGTCCCATCTTTGTAATCATTAGTATGTGTGAGTACATTTTTAATGCTATCAATGTATTGCATTAGGCAAATCTGCTGCACAAGACCTTTTAAAAGTGTTGAAGAGCAAAGATGTCAGCTTGAGGACTAAGGTGCGCATGACCCAAGCCATGGTATTTTCAATAACCTCATATGCATTCGAAAACTGGACAGTGAATAAGGAAGAGCATAGAAGAATTGATGCCTTTGAGTTGTGGTGTTGGAGGAGAATATTGAAACTGTCATGAGCTGCCAGAAGAACCAATAGATCCATTCTGGAAGAAGTGCAGCCAAAGTGCTCCTTGGGGGCCAGGATGGCTGTTAAGTGCCGTCAAGTCATTTCTAACCCATAGCGACCCTGTTTAGGTTTTCCTAGGAGCAGCTGGTGAACTTGAACCACCAACCTTGCAGTTCAGGTGGCTTTGCAGTCTGGCGTGTTAACTCACAGCACCACACCAGGACTCCATGGGCCCATGATTTTTGTTGTTGTTAGGTGCCATCAAGTCGGCACCAACTCATAGTGACCTTATGCACAACAGAACGAAACACTGCCAGGTCCTGGGCCAACCTCACTATTGTTGCCACACTTGAGCCCATTGATGATACCACTTTGCCAACCCATCTCGTTGGTGGTCTTACTCTTTTTCTCTGACCCTCCACCTTACCAAACATGACATCCTTCTCCAGCGACTGGTCCCTCCTGACAATATGTCCGAAGTATGAGAGACGAGCTCTGGTAGCACAGTGGTTACAAATTGGGCTGTGAACCACAAGGTCAGCAGTTCGAAACTACCAGCTGTTCCACGGGACAAAGATGACGCTTTCTGTTCCTGTAAAGAATTACAGCCTCAGAAACCCTGTACAGGGTTGCTATGACTCCAGGGTACATAACAACAACAACAACAACAACAAGAGGCGAATTTGGCCATCCTGTCCTCCAAGGAGCACTCTGGCTGCACTTTTTTCAACACAGATCTGTTGGTTCTTTTGGCAGCCCATGGCACTTTCAGTATTATCTTCCAATGCCATAACTCAAAAGCATCCATTCTTCTCTGGTCTTCCTTATTCACTGTCCAGCTTTCACATGCATATGAGGTTATTGAAAATACCATGGCTTGGGTCATGCGCATCTTAGTCCTCAAGCTGACATCTTTGCTCTTCAACACTTTAGAAAGGTCTTGTGCAAGAGATTTGCCTAAATGCAATACGTTGTTTGATTTCTTGACTGCTGCTTCCATGAGTGTTGATGGTTGATCCAAGAAGAACGAAGTCCTTGACAACTTCAATCTTTTCTCCATTGTTAAGAATGTTGTTTATTGGTCTAGTGGTGAGGATTTTTGTTTTCTTTACCATTAAAAAAAAAAAAAAAAAAAGTCCCATGATAGAAGGGATTATGTTGGGTCATCGCTATGGGGGAGTTGGATTGTGTGGTGTATCAAAATGATCTGAAAAGCTGTGTCCACTAAGGAGCGTGAGAAAAGACTGAGTTGCTCAGCAGCATGTAAACAGTATGTTTTCTCTTCTACAGATGACAACGAATGTGAGCTCAACAATGGTGGCTGCAGTGAAATTTGTGTCAACCTCAAAAACTCGTATCGTTGTGAGTGTGGAGTTGGCAAAGTGCTAAGAAGTGATGGCAAGACGTGTGACGGTGAGAATGGAAACGAAGAGACTCAAGCTAGAGCCCCAGTAAACTAAACCACAGGCTTACACTCTGATGCTCATGGAATTGCCTAGTGTTCGGAGAGAGAGTGGAAAGAAATTGTTAGAGGGAATACTCTTCATTGAGGGCTGCTCATGTTGTGGACAGAATCCAGTGTTGATTGTATCTCCAAGATTTAACAGAAGGGAATGATTGTGTTTTTATTTGAGAAATGAAAATAAGCTATCTGTTTCTCAAACTTCTGCACAGTAATAACCTGCGGGTGTGGAATCAGACCAAGAGATTGTATTGCTAAGTAACTTTCAGGTGACAACTCTGCTGCTGGTCTAAGGAACATCCCAGGAGCAGCAAAGTAATAGAATCAAGTAGACTGACAGCTGGTATACTGAATGTTTTCTCAAACTTCCCATGAATAAGAATCACCTTGTGTGCTTTTAACCCTAGACCTTCCCAGGCCTCCCACCTGATGACTAAGGCTCACTGGAGCTGGGGTGGAACCTGGGAATGTGTGTTTTTAACAAGTTTCCTCGGTGATTCTTGGAAGTTTGGAAAACCTGTACTTTACATGAAGCATCCCACTTCTTTTTTTTTTTTTTTTTCTGGCTGTTTGCTTTGCATTTATTAGAGATAAGTTTTTAAAATCTATTTTTAACATCAGAAATGCTGTATATATTTTAGGTGATTAGTAACAAAGAAGGAATTAGTAATGTGTAGCAAAACAATGGAAATGCAAGCTGCTTACCACTATTACATGAAACGTAGATAATGCTGTTTCTCTAAAACACATTTGCCCTTAAAAAGGATCACAACTAAAACTTCATTACTTCTGCTTTTAAGAAATCTGAATCCCATGACACTGACAGATATTGAGGCAGCAAATAAATAAATACCATCACAAAAGAAAAAGTTCTATGCTGATTCTTGTTGTTAAGTGCTGTCAAGTCAGTTCTGACTCACAGCGACCCTATATCGGATTTCCAAGGAGCAGCTGGTGAACTTGAACCACTGTCCTTGCAGTTCAAACTGACCTTGCAGTCCAGTGCATTAACCCGCAGCACCACACAGGGATAACACTGCTTAAAAGAGTTCACTTTATTCTTGTTAGATTAAAAATAATAAAATACTACCCAAAAGAAAAAATGGTGACTCGTGCCCACATTTTATTCTGTGCAAGAAGTTCAGCATTATTACCTGAGGGGCCATTTAACCAGAACATTCAACTACTGTCCTTTATAACAAGACTAAAGTGATTTAAAATTTTACTGAATAAGGATAATGTCCTCAGTTCACTTTAAATCTTAATTATTCTAAGTAATAGTCTTTGAGTATTTGAATATTAATGGATGTTCCATGTGGAACTCTTATAATTATCCAGGCCTTTATTGGAAATATTATAGTTAATTCTCATATATTCCTAAAACTTCATCACCATAACTGAAAAATACTTTAGCAGAAGATAAAATTTGTATATGAACTACACTTCAGGATTAATATTTTTTTGATACTCCAAACATATTTAGTTAAGCTGTTCAATAATAATATTTTTTTACTGAACGGTTGCTTTATTATATTTAAATAGCTTATTGTTTTATTTTATTTTAAAAGTTATGTTTACAGGAGAAAATACAGAATAGTAAAGGGGGGTAATTAAAATAACCCACAATCCCACTTGTCAGCCAGTCCATTCTGAACATTTTGATAAGAGACTGAAATTCCTTAAGCCAGTTTAGAATTTCAATTGATTTTGTGCTTTGCACTTTTAGATATTCTGGAAATATCTTGAGTATTTATTACAACCCCTTAATTTTACAAGGAGTGAAAATGAGACTCAGAGAAGTTAAGTGAATTAAGAAAGGTCAATTTTAAAAAGCTTTTTATTGTGAATTCAGTGAAGGTTTTACTGAGCAGATCATCCATTTTACAGTCCACCAATCGTACACTTCATTTTGTCTCAATAATTGCAGGCCCCTCGGTGTAACATCCTGGTGTGGAGCTGTGGGTTAATGCACTAGACTGCAAAGTCAGTTGAACTGCAAGGTTGGTGGTTCAAGCTCACCAGTCACTCCTTGGAAACCCTCTAGAGGTTCACTATGGGTCAGAACCAACTTGACGGCATTTAACAACAACAGTGTAACATCACCCATTGCATTTCTTCCCTGTATTTCTTGTTTCCATTTCACCTTCTTTCCCAACCCTTCTGAATTTTGTCCTTGGGTGCTTCTCTTTTGTTGTAAAATGGTTGATCATTCTATATGTATATTCCTCATTAGTGTTGGCCTCCCACCAATTCTCCCACCCACTCATTTGCCTATCTGAAAACTGAGCCATAGTATGAGTGAGTTCAGTTCCAGACCTGAACGCTGACCAAAGGCCATAGCCTCAGGCCTCCACCGATGATATTTTGACCTCTGTCTTTTGTATGATTTTAGACTTTATTCTGCATTTTCTCCCACTCTATCCGAGGCCTTCTAATATGATCCCTTTCAAAGCAATGGATAGTGGTAGCTGGGCACCATCTACTTCTTCTTTTTGTAGATGAAACATATTTGTGGACTTGCCTATATGTCTCAGTCATTAGGACTGGGCCCCAAGATACTGAGAGGATCATCTGTGAGTTGGAATTCCTGAGGAGACACGTTGCAAGATGATCCACTTTCTTTTGGTTTCTATCGCAGACATTGAGGGATGCCACAGGAACAATGGTGGCTGCAGCCATTCTTGCCTTGTGTCTGAGAAGGGCCACCAGTGTGAATGTCCCCGAGGACTGGTGCTGTCTGAGGACAACCACACTTGCCAAGGTAGTAGGGGGATGGGTACAGCCTCTGATCTGATTGATACATCCTTCCCCCAAGCATATCAGCACTCTCATCCTTTAAAATGCCCACTCTTTGAGCAGAGTCCTTAGTCTAGAATGATTTAAAAGAGGAGCTCTTTAAGAAAGGATTACCCAAAAGCTAACGGTCCTTTGCTTTTTACCTTTTATTTTCTTCTAATTTCTTTTATCGATTATACTATTAACACTTACTTTGGAGAAATAAGACACTGATGTGGTTCATTCTGTAACCAATGTATTCTCTTCCCTGACAGATAATTAGATTGGGAAGCTAAGTATAAATCCCTGGGAAATGACTTGTTTTCCCTACATTTTAAAACATAGGCTTCAGTAATCCTCTGAGAATGATTTTCTAGAAATCCAGTTCTTGATGTTCAGAACATCAATTCATTCATCTGGCAAATATTGAATGAGTATTTACCTTTGATTTCTTTAGACCATCCCATTGTTATGATACATCCTCACGCAGTGGACTCTGGCAGTCCACATAACGTATTCCTTTTAGGGTGTTTGTATAATCTACAGAAGTCAACACAGTGAACACTAAGGGAAGCAGTCTTCCTTATATTGAGTTGAATAGGGATTTATCATCAGAGTTAATGCTTCCCTGAGCAACGCTACGACAATTTGGAACCCTTCCCCAAGTGCATTAACACTGTTTTTATTACTTCTGTTTTATGGGCAGTACATTTTCAGTATTGCCAATAAATTGCATTTGTGCTAAAAATGAATCCTTCAGGTGTTTTGATTTATAGAGTGATGTTAGCCACGGATTTGAAATAAATGCTTGCTAAGCTGAAACCTGAACATAATATTTCTGAATTCAGGGAACAATATATTTGAGGAACATTGTTTGAACAAAGTCTTGTGAGCTAGAAGTCCTGGTTTTATGTACTAACTTGTTTTGAGCCCCATAGAGTTTCTTGAGAATAGGAACAAAAAGGAGTCCTTGTGTGGTGCTGTAGGATAAGCACTGCACTGCTAACAGCAAGGTCAGCAGTTCAAACCTACCAAACACTCCTCAGTTACTATGAGTCAGAATCGATTCAGTGGTCCTTGACAATAAGAAGGGACAAAAAGTTTAGATTTCATGAGAGTGCAATGCTTTCTCCAAGAAGCCTACATGGCTCTTTCTCCCAACCCAGGCTACCTGATTCTAACAGTAGCCCTTTTCCACCACAGTTCCTGTGTTGTGCAAGTCAAACACCATTGAAGTGAACATCCCCCGGGACCTGGTTGGTGGCCTGGAGCTCTTTCTGACCAACACTTCCTGCCGAGGCGTATCTAATGGCACCCATATCAACATCCTCTTCTCCCTCAAGACATGTGGCACAGTGGTGAATGTAGGTACCCCAGGAGAACACTCAGGGAATGACCAAAAAAGCCAGTTGTTTGGGGGGTGGTTGACAGAAGTATGCAGTGTGACTTGTGTCATTGATGAAATGTTTCCATATAAAAGAATTGTGCTCAAAACCCCTTATGCCTTTCATTTGATAACAGATTGTTTTCACATAAAAGAATTGTGCTTTTAAGCACCTTATGCCAGTCATTGGATAACAGATTATTGAGTATTTGCTGTGGCCCTGGGTAATGCAGACGGTTAAGCATGCAGCTACTAATGGATAAGTTGGAAGTTCAATCCCACGCAGTGGCACCATGGAAGAATAGCCTGCTTCTGAAAGGTCATAGCTGTAAAACCCTGTGGTACACAACACATAGTGTCACCCTGGCTTTGCTTTGTTTGGTTTGCCATGGTCCTGGTCCTGCGAGGACAGACAATGAAGACTTTCCTGAGAGTTGCTCTCAAGTAGCCTGGTCTCCAATGCGATGCCTGAGGGCATCAGCACCACTGTTACTGCAAACCTGGTTGTGTTCCCTTGGAAGAAAGATTTTACTTGAATAATTTTGATAATATATTTAATAGTAATATAGACGATTGTTCAGTTAGAATGTAGTGAATGAGTTCATGTCATTGACCCAGTTTGAGGTGAAAGTAAGATTATTTTATCCAAACATTTGCCTCCAGTCCTGTGCTGGAGAGAGTATGAGATCTGTGAACTAAGCCTCTTGCCTTGTAGGTATTTACACAGTAATAGTGTGATGGTAACATATGTACAATGTAAATAAGGGATAGTAGTAATACACATGGTAAACACTATGGCGGTGGTGGTGGTGTGCCGTAGAATTGGTTATGACTCATAGTGTCCGTGTATAGGGCTTCTGAGGCTGTAAATATTTACAAGAGTAGAAAGCCTCATCTTTCTCCTACAGAGCAGCTTGTAGATCTAAACTGCTGGTCTTGAATATGCAGCCCAATGCATAACCCACCACACTACCAGGTATCCTTGAAAGATGCTCTAAGAATCCATTCAAGAAACAAACACTGGTGCAATCAAGAACAATGGTAATTGACCCAGGCGTGAACTAAAGGCAATTGAGGTCAATACTGCTAACACATGGTACATGGAGGGGATTGTAATCATTGAAATGAAATGAAATATATGATTTGTTAAATGTAAAGCTAATGATCTACACTGCAAACCTTCACTCAATTCACAATGAAAAGTTTGGAAAAAATGAAAAGCGACACTTGAGCTGGGCTTGAAACGTGTGTGATTGACAGTGCGGAGAGAAAAAGACAGGGCACTTCAGGTGGGGAAGCTTCCAGGCTAACCAGTGGCTGTCGGGTGGATTCCGACTCGGGGACCGCCTGTGTGGCAGGCTGACTGTACTCTGTAGGGTTTTCAAGGTCTGATTTGTCAGAAGTAGATCATCAGATCTTTTTTCCAAGGCACTTCAAGTGAGACTTGAACCTCAAGTCTTTCAGTTAGCCGCTGCGTGTATTAACCATTTGCACTATGCAGGGAATACACCCAATGTAAGCAAGCAACTCAATCCTGACTGGCAAGGAATTCTTATTAAAGGGTGAGACTGGAAAAGCAGATGGGGACAGACTATGTTTCAAAGATCTGCCTCCATGCTAGGGTGAGAAGTTGGGGTTCTGCCTCATAGAGCAGGGACAGTCACAGTGAAATCACAGTATGCAGGATGGGTAGGAGCCCTGGTGACACTGTAAGATAAGCACTGGACTACTAACTGAAGGTTGACAGTTCAAACCCACCAACCTCTCTGCTGGAGAAAGATGAGACTTTCTGTATTGGTAAGATTAACAGCCTTGGAAACTCTATGAGTCGGACTTGACAATGTGGATAAACAAGAGAGCCCTGATGTAAGTGATCAATTCAGAGACCCTTGCAATCATTGGATTAAACAAATACATACTGAATCTGACTAAGTGAAAACACAGAGAGCTACTAATCTACTTGGTGGTGGTGGTTATGTGCCGTGGAGTCGGAACTAACTCATAACGACCCTGTACAGGGTTTCTGAGGCTGTAAATTTTTACGGGAGCAGAAAACCTCATCTTTGTCCCGCAGAACAGCTGTTAGTTTTGAACAGCTGACCTTAAGGTTCGCAGCCCGATTCATAACCACTACGCTACCAGAGCTCCTTAGGAGGCCCAATTAAACACTTGACTGTTAATCAAAAGGTGGTTCAACCCCACCAGTGGCTTGGTCCATAGGAGAAAATACCTGGCAACCTGCTAACCCTTAAGGTTACAATTTAGGAAACACAATGGGCCAGTTGTACACTGTCCAGTAGGGTCACCATGATTTGGAAATGACTAAATGGCACACACCTCCACTTGTCTGTCAGTTTGTGGTACTATGGTGGCTTGTGAGTTGCTGTGATTCTGGAAGCTATGCCATGGGTATTTTAAATACCAGCAGGATCACCCATGGTGGACAGGTTCAGATGACCTTCCAGATAAAGACAGACTAGGAAGAAAGAGTGACGAACTATTTCTGAATATTTAGTCACTGAAAACCTTATGAATAGCAGAGAAACACTGTCAGATATAGTGCCGGAAAATGAGCCCCTCAGGTTAGAAGGCACTCAAAATGCGACTGGGAAGTTCCATAGGGTTTTCAATCATTGATTTTCCAGAAGTGGATCACCAGGTCCTTCTTCTAAGGCACCTCTGGGTGAACTTGAACCCCCAACCTTTCAGTTAGCAGCTGAGGGCATTAACCATTTGGACCACCCAGGAACTTCCAACTGTGGAAATAAACACAAAATTTCTCCCCTCTCTCACCCTGTCCTGGCTCAGGTGGTGAACGACAAGATTGTGGCTAGTAATCTTGTGACGGGTCTTCCGAAGCAGACCCCAGGAAGCAGTGGTGACATCATCATTCGAACCAGCAAACTGTTGATCCCAGTGACCTGTGAGTTCCCTCGCCTGTACACCATTTCTGAAGGCTATGTTCCCAACCTTCGAAACTCCCCACTTGAAATCATGAGCCACAACCATGGAGTCTTCCCCTTCATACTGGAGATCTTCAAGGACAACGAATTTGAAGAGCCATACCGGGAAACCTTACCCATCCTCAAACTTCGCGACTCCCTCTACTTCGGCATTGAGCCCCTGGTGCACGTGAATGGCTTGGAGAGCCTGGTGGAGAGCTGCTTTGCTACCCCCACGTCCAAGATTGATGAAATCCTCAAGTACTACTTGATCCGGGATGGGTAATTATACTTCCTAAACTCTCCCTCCTGCCCCCACATCCCCAAGCATATACAGTTGTTACTAAAGCCTGTGTGCTCTTTGGGTGACCAGAAACCATTATTGACATTTTGGAGGTAAAAACTGGTGAGGGAGAAAGGAGCCAAACAGACTCCAGGGTGTCTAGCTTGGGTGACTGACTACATGCCATTAACCATGACAAATAGACAAAAGTAGAACAGCAGATGAGGTAGAAAGATGGAGTTTGGTCATTTGATATAAAATGCCTGCAGGATGAATAGGAAGAGAAGCTCTGTGGAAATGCCTTATCAGTTCGCCCCAAGAATAAGGTCAAGACTCCGGAGGAAGAAGAGACTCACTGTGTATAGCTGAAACTATGGGATGGATTAACCTGCTCAGAGAGAAGGCAGTGGTTAGCCATGATCGGTTAGCCCCCAACCCTCATGGCAACACTGCTTGGCCCTGCACTATCCCCATGGTTCATTACAGAGTAGACTATTGTGAGCCATAGGGTTTTCACCAGCTGGTTTTCAGAAGCTGATCACCAGGCCTTTCTTCCTATGGCCTGTTCAGCACCGTAGCAGCATGCAAGTCTCCACTGACAGAGGCTGCTGTCCACGAGACAGGTTGGCCAGGAATCAAATCCAGGTCTCCTGCATTGCTGTTGTTACTGGTAAGTGTCATTGAGTCAGTTCTGACTCATAATGACCCTGTATAGGGTTTCCATGGAGCTGCTTGGTGACTTTGAATCACTAACCTTGTGGTTCAAACTGAATTCTACCACTGAACCTCACACAGCATGAATATGGGGTGGGAGCTGATTCTTTATTCTAGTGGTTTCTAAGCACATGGGCAATTAAGAAGTTGGAGTAGCAAGTGTAGATTCCTCTTTGGAAGAGTTAGGTAGGAAAAGAGAGAGAAGAAATACTTGTAGATTAAAGGAGAAGAAAAATCAAATGATGTTTGTTATTGTTTGTTTGATTTATACCAAGGATTCTTTTAAGATTCAGGTTTCCATGAAATTTCTTAGGGGTCCTTAGAATGTGAACTGTAGAGGGTTTTGTGGTATCATTGAAAGCCTAACAGTTTTCACATGTACTGCTTAAATCCCAGGGGAAATCACCCTCAAACCCAAAAGTCACAGTGGTGTCTCATCAGTGTCTTCCTTGTTCCAAATGTCAGGTGGGACACAGTCTCAGGTAGAGTCATGGAATGCAACATAATAAAATGGGAAATGGTCTCGTTAGAGCAGCCAAGTGTGCCCTGGCTTCTTGCCCTTGACTAGCTGGCCTGAGGAATCCCTTAAAGTATAGACTTTGCTTTTACGCCTCTGGGTCTCTCCACACAAGCAATTGCCTTCATCTGCAGCTACTGACCTTTTCCACACAGATTCCCAACCCTTGATGTACATTAGAATCTTGCAAATGAAACTTTAAAATAAAGAACAGCAAACTCCCAACCCCATTCTCTCTATTCCTCTCTCAGAATCTGAATTCCTGCCCTTGCTACTTTTTACCTAGACAGGGAAAACTGCCTCCTAACCAAAAACCTGTTGCTATTCAATCAATTCCGATTCACACGACCTTATAGGACCAAGTAAAACTGCCCCATACTGTTTTTTTTAAGGCTGTTAAGTTTATGGAAGCAGACTGCCACATCTTTCTACTGTGGGGCCACTGGTGGGTTCGAACTGCTGACCTCTCAGTTCATAGCAGCGCTTCTTTCTTAAACAGGACTCCTTTCACCTCCTAAAACAGGTTCCTGAATCTCAGCTCTCAGATGTCCACTCCATAGAGCCCCCTGGGTAATCTAAAGAAAAGCAAAATCTTGTCACATCCCTACTGGACCTTTCTCATGGCTCTGTTTGTAGTAATGTAAGAGCAAGTCTAGCCTCACATTCCTGTAGCCTCCTTAGCTCACTTCATAATATGGAAAATTTATCATGCTGAGCTGCTTGGATGGCCAGTAATAGGTCTTGTAGGGATCTGCCAGACCTTTTGGGTTTCTTGCCATCTTAACCTGATCTCCAGAAAGTTTTCAAAGGAAAAATAGAAGCATTTTTTAATATCTTTTTTTCAGTTACTTTATATGAAGTCAGTTAGGGTATGGATTTAAGGGTTTTGTTTTGTTTTGTTTACAGCTTCATTGGAGTGCTGTTCACATACAATAAATTTGTTGTTGTTGTTAAGTGCCGTCGAATCGGTTCCGACCCATAGCGACCCTGTACAGGGTTTCCAAGGGTGTAAATCTTTACAGGAGTAGAAAGCCTCATCTTTCTCCCGCGGAGGGGCTGGTAGTTTCGAACTGCTGACCTTAAGGTTCACAGCCCGATTCGTAACCACAACCAACCCTATAATAAACATTTTTGTCACCCCCCATTTTTTTTCCTATCCCTCATATTTACTTGCTACAAAAATAAATATATAATCCTAATTTACTTACTAGGAAAATATGGAACCTGCTGACTCAATAAAGCTTGTGAAGTTTATATATTCATTAATCATACCTTTACTCAAAAAGACTATTTTTCTTTTAAACAGTTTAAAGAAGCTGAGTTATTTCATTTTCCAGCCCTGAAGACATGCCAAACCCAAACCAAGCCCAATGCCATCCAATCTATTCCAACCCATAGCAATACTGTAGGACAAAGTAGAACTTCTTCTTAGGGTTGCTGAGACTATAAATCTTTACAGGAGCAAACAGCTTTATCTTTCTCCTGCAAAACAGTTGGTGGGTTTGAACCACCAACCTTGAGGTCAGCATCCTGATGCTAAATGGTGTCACCAGGGCTCCTTTTAGCACCTACAATGTAGTAACAAAAAGAACAAAAATGCTGCAGAAAAAAATTCAATCATTATAAAGCATATGCAAGAACTCAAAAGTCACAGCACAGTGGGTCTATTTAGTAAACAGGCAGTGTCCCGCTGTAGCACTGCCCAGGAATGATGGAACATTCAGACTTTCAACTTGGCTCACGGCACCCTTCACCCTCTCCATTTCTGCTCCTGACATGCTTCTGCCAGAGAGGATCGCTGGCAATGTGTCCCCCGCACATTCCCAACTTCACACAGGCTGTTTCCTTAGCCAAAGACCCTCCTGTTTGATTCCTGGTCCCTCCAGATTCAGTGTGGTTTCTTTCCTCCATGAAACTTTCTCTAATTTCTTCCAGTCGGAACTAGAAACGTTCCTTTCTCAATGCCTATCATAGTAGTCACTGTTAGTTCCTTGAAGTCAATTCTGACTCATGGCAGCTCGTGTGTATTGAGGTCCCTGGGGTTCAAGCCTGTCTTCCAACACACCTCTGGGTAGCAGTTGGACAGTAATCTAGGTGGCACCATCCTCATATTTGCCAAATACATTATTAATGATTCTTTTTTTAAATCCATACAGTACTTTAATTGAAAGTATTGAACTATAAGAAGAATTCAGAGTACCGCAGTCATTTGGACAGATGTTATTTGTAGCTGGTCTTTCATCCAACCCCAGATGCCTCACCTAATACCAAACCCAGTGCCGTAGAGTCAATTCTGACTCCTAAAGACCTGCACAGGATTTCTGAGGTTGCAAATCTTCACAGGAACAGAAAGCTTCATCTTTCTTCTATGGAGTAGCATGTGGGTTTGAACAGCCAGCCTTGCAGTTAGAAGTCCTGTGTTTATCTTGTTGTGGTTAAGTGCTGTTGCGTCAGTTCCAACTGACAGAGACCCAGTATAGAGCTTCTCAGGAGTGACTGATGGGTTTGAACTGCTGACCCTGGGGTTAGCAGTCCAGTTCTTATCCTACAGCACCACACAGGACTCCACCAGCTGGAGTGATGGTATGTCATGGAGTCAGTTCCGACTCACAGTGACCCTGCATAGGGTTTCTGAGGCTGTAAATATTTAGCCTCATCTTTCTCCCTTGGAGCCACTGGTGGATTCGAACAGCTGACCATACAGTTAGTAGCCCAATATGTAACCCACTATGCTACTAGGGCAGAATCATTATATATGTCACGCCAGCATTTTGAGTCCTGTGCTGTTATCCAGGTGTAAACTGTGATGCTTCCGATTTTCACACTGATGTGTCAGGTTATTTGAAATGTTTTATATTGCTTATCGTTTTATAATGGAGTCCTAGTGTGGCTCTGTGGGCTAATGCGTCAAGACTGCAAAGTCATTTGAACTGCAACTGCGGCGGTTCAAGCTCACCAGCTGCTCCTCAGAAACCCTAAACAGGGTCACTATGGGTCAGAACTGACTCGACAGCACTTAACAACAACAACACTGTTTTACAATATCATGAAAGAACTTTGAGAATTTAGGAGTTTTAGGTTCTTTCATATTGATTGTCACACTGTACTTCAATTTGTTTTTTCCTTCTAAATTTTATTTTGTTGTTGTTGAGAATCTACACAGCAAAACACACACCAATTGAAGTTTCTGTATGTACACTATGTTGTTGTTAAGTGCTATCAAGTCAGTCCTGACTCATGCAACCTTGTATAAGGTTTCTGACAAGCAGCTGGTGAGTTTGAACCTTGCAGTCCAGTGCTTTCTTCTACAGTACCCCACCAGGACGCTACATGTACAATACAGTGACATGAAATAAATTATTAAATGAGTAATTTTCAAACTATTTCAGAAACCTAAAATAAGCAGGATACAGTTTAACATATATTTGTAAATGCTTGATTATTCATTTTAAAAAACAATTCACGCATTGTTCTTAGCATACATTAAAACCAGGCAGGTTTTCCCCTGATAATAGACACATCTGATTCATTTACCTTTGGATTTAGTTGGTATACCTCTGAGAATACAAAGTAATACCAGCCTAAGCAAGTTATATAGGGAGCTCTGGTAGTGCAATGGCTACAAGTTGGGCTGCTAACCTCAAGGTCATTAGTTTGAAACTACCAGCTGTTCTACGGGAGAATGATGAGGCTTTCTGCTCCCATAAAGATTTATAGCTTTGGAAACCCTCTATAGGGTTGCCATGAGTTGAAACCTACTCCATGTTACACCACCACTACCAAGTAATTTGTTGTTGTTAAATGCCATCAAGTCAGTTTTGACTCATAGCAACCCTCTATAGGATTTCCAAGGTACAGCTGGTGGATTTGAACTGCTGACCTTGTGGTTTACAATCCAGTGCTGATCCTACAGTGCCACACCAGGAGTCCATATTAGAATGGTTGATTTCTAGACAAATAAACATATTAAATTCCAAAATTAAGTACTGAACTTTCGGATAATAACTTTGCATTAGCCTACACCATTATTACTTTAGTACATAAACTTCAAGTTGTCTAAAATAGCACTATTTAATCACAGCAAACTCCAAATCAACAGCCAGGGTTTCTCTTGGATGTATGTTATTCTGCAATGATGAGTACAGAATAACTCTTCATTTCTCATTTTCTCTTTAAAAATAATGATAACAGTATTTTTAGATAAAGATAAATTGAAAATGTATAGGCATTTAAATGAAAAGTGCCATTTTAATATTAAGTGTTACTATTATTATTATAGATGTTGTTGTTGTTCAGTGTTGTCCAGCTGGTTCCAGCTCATAGTGACCCAGTATAGGGTTTCCAAGGAGCAACTGGTGAGTTTGAATGGCTGACCTTGCAGTTCTGCTATATCAGAAGTCCATTTTGCTATTATAGAGACCAGAGTATAAATCTCTTCACATTGCAGAGCATAGTAATCATTTTTATATCCTGTGCAGCACCTAGACCTGGAGTCCTGGTGTAGTGCTGTGGATAAAGCACTAGACTGCAAGGGTGGTTTCGACCACAAGGTCAGTGGTTCAAACTCAGCAGCTGCTCCTTGGAAACCCTATACAGTGTCACTATGAGTCAGAACCCACTCGATGGTACTTAACAATAACAAAAGCAGCATTTAGCAGAGCATCCTGTACAGATTAGGGAAGCAATAGATAGTTATAGAACACAGTCAGAAGATGATATAAATGTAATGTCACCTCAGGAAAATGAAAATGAATAACTAAATGTATGAAGTAGTGGTAACCACATGATATATTCTGATCTACTTTAGTTCAGTGGACTAGGTAGTCAGGGTAAGATACATTAAGATGCCTTATTTTAAATAATTTTATTGGATTTTTCACCTGCACCAAAACAGCTGCTAGCAATGCAATAGAAAATAGTTTATAAGTATGTGGGACCAGTGTCCCATTTCACAGGGTTTCATATCTGATCCCACTTCTTTCCTGGGCCTGATGGATAGGAAATATAAAGTATCCATACAAAGGAAACTATTCCCAGGGAGAAAAAACAAAGTTCCTTTGGAATTCAAAACGGAAAAGACTTGGCCTCTGAATGAACTAATAAAACTTCTTTCCCTGGCTAACCCTGAGGTAAATCTAGAAGTTTCACTTACACCAAAAACCCTATCAGACTTAGCATAAATTTGGGAAAAGATGAATGAAAATGATTTGGAGGTAAATGACTTTTCCCCAGTAGCACCAGTTATTGTTTAAGAATCTTAGATTTTGTGCATTTTTCTATGCCAGAGTTTCTAGTTTGCTCAGCTATGTATCCCATTCAGTGGTTGGTACATGTTGTTGGTGTTATTGTTAAGTGCTATGGAGTCAGTTATAGAAACCTGTATAGGGTTTCCAGGAGCAACTGGTGGGTTTAAATCACTGACCTTGAAGTTAGCAGCCCAGAGCTTATCGTATAGCACCACACCAAGTCTGTATATCAGGATCCAATAAATATTCAATTAATTTACAGGAGAGCCTTCTCAAATCATTGACGAAGTACATGAAGGCAGAATTCCTACAATATGTTACAGTGGAAAATGCCGCTTTTTCAGTATTGTAGTTGTTTGCTGTGATGTGCCGTCGAGTCGATTCAATAGGTACCTTTAAAATAAATGGTGTCACTGTTGCTAATACTTAAATCCACTGACAACAGCAAGTCCTCTGCCTGGTATGTGAATACAGAGGATGATTGACAGAACAGACATCGGTAATCGGCAGGGCTGTGTCTGAAGATGCCCTCACAGGGAAGGGATTGCATTTTTCCTTCATTCTCAAAAAGCTTGAGTGCAGCCCAGCCCTCTCCACCCAGTTTGCTTCTCCTTGGGCCATGTTGGACTGGATAGTGTTTCCACGTCTGTTTAAACCATCAAGTCTGATGTGCTCTCCTGTCCTACTTGAAGCTGTGTTTCAGATGACTCTGTCAAGCAGTACACAGCCCGGGATCACCTAGCAAAGCATTTCCAGGTCCCAGTCTTCAAGTTTGTGGGCAAAGACCACAAGGTGAGCTGAACACTTTGCCCCTATAATCGCCTGACCCGAGCCTTCTTCTTTCTCATGTCTCAACTGTCAACATTCCAAGACCCCAAGGTGATGATCCCTATTGGCACTAGGAAAAATACTGTAAAACTGGCCATCTAAAAGTGTAACAACTTTATTAATATCACAATGATCTACCCTTCCAATAAAATAACCATGCTCGTTCAAAAATACTATATGAGCAGCATTATAAATCTTTGGGGACAGGTATGGTTGAAAATCCAGTATGATAGATCCACAGCAAAAAATACTGATCTAAATATAGAAAATTCACAGGAAAGACTAATAGTAAGATATCCCATGATTTATAAATTTATAAAAATTATAAATTACAGTGCTTGCCTGGTTATAGGGTTTGTTGTTGTTGTTAAGTGCAATCAAGTTGGTTCTGAATCATAGCAACCTTGTATAGGGTTTCTAAGTAGCAGCTGATGGATTTGAACCACTGGTTTTGCAGTTCAAAATGACCTTCTGGTCCAGTGCTTATCCTACAGTGCCACACCACATGTTAACCTGGGTGATGCGGATGGCAATATACAATAAAAGGGAAGTTGTAAAAAAAAAATATATATATATATATGTGTGTGTGTGTGTGTGTATGTGTGTGTGTGTTGTATTGACGGAGCATATTAAAATTTAGTATAGTGATTTTTTTCCATTAAAAGTAAATTGATGTACTTTCTGGAAAGTTGTGTGGTAGTATGCATATGTAATAATAATCATATTCTTTTATTTAAAAACTTCCAATTCTAGTATTTCTCAAAAACAAAATAACCCCACAAAGGCTTATTGGATGTGTTTATAAAGCATTATTTTGAAAGATGAGTCCTGGTATGGCACTGGACTGAAAGGTCGGTTTGAACAGCAAGGTTGGCGGTTCAAGTTCACCAGGCGCTCCTCGGAAACCCTATACAGGGTCGCTATGAGTCGTAACAGACTTGATGGCACTTAACAATAATGAACTATAAAAGAGGTTGTCCCCAACATTGTATCAATTTAATGCAACACTAAGCCACCATTAAAATGATTGTTGTTGGTGGTGGTAAGTGCCATGTTCCCACCTGTTGTTGTTGTTAGGTGCCATTGAGTCAGAACTGACTCATAATGACCCTATGTACAACAGAACAAAACACTGACAGGTCCTGGGCCAACCTCACTACTGTTGCCATGCTTGAGCCCATTGATGCTGCCACTTTGCCAATCCATCTCACTGGGGGTCTTCCTCTTTTTCTCTGATCCTTCACCTTACCAAACGTGATATCCTTCTCCAGCAACTGGTCCCTCCTGACAATATGTCTGAAGTATGAGAAACAAAGTTTGGCCATCCTGGCCTCTAAAGAGCACTCTGGCTGCAGCTCTTCCAACACAGATCTATTGGTTCTTTTGGCAGCCCATGGCAATTTTAGTATTCTCCTCCAACACCACAACTCAAAAGCATCAATTCTTCTATGGTCTTCCTTATTCACTGTCCAGCTTTCGCATGCATCTGAGGTTATTGAAAACACCATGGCTTGCGTTAGGCACACCTTAGTCCTCAAGCTGACATCTTTGCTCTTCAACACCTTTAAAAGGTCTTGTTAAAGTGACCCTATATAAGGTTTCTGAGGAGTAGTTTCAAACTGCCAACCTTGGGGTTAAACACAGTCCAGTGCTTATCCTACAACACCACATAAGTATGGGGGGAAAAACAACAACAAACAAACAGATGTGATAAGTATGAAAAAAAAAATTGTTATGGTAAGTAATGAAATTAAACCAGTAATTCTATATGCATATAGAATGTGATTAAAATATCTACACATAGAGGTTATAAGAGACTGCATTAAAAAGGTGATCGTTATGTCAAGATTGAGGGATTGGAGTTTTTAAACTACAGTTATTGAAAAATTAAACAAAAGAAAGTTTGAGGTCAACATTCTTTCCTAAACTGAATGGCAGTGTTTTCATGTTCTTTCTAACTACATCATTATACCAGAGTTGCTCAAAATGATGGCTAATCTTCATCTCCATCCTCGGTAAGGCAGCAAACTTTGAGCTGTTACATATTGAATGAAGCTTGGAGAAAGATGAACGTGTCATTTGACAAGAGAAGCACACAGGAGCCCATGTTATCCCCAGGTCTTATTGTGAAGAATGAAGATGTTAAGCTTATTGGATACATATCTACAGATACCCATCTCTCTGGTTCTAGAGCAGTGCAGAAGTTAAAATTACCCATATGACCCAAATTCCAACCTTACCACTTTACTAGGTGTGTGAATTTGGGCAAGTCTGTCAAGCTCTCTGAGCCTCAATTTTCTCATCTGGAAAATGGGTATATATAATAACTAATCATATGCTGTTAAGAATGCAGGAAGTAAGGTTTATGAAACACTTTAACACAGTGTGTGGTTTATCATACTCAATAAGAGGCAGGTACTACTGGCTTAATTCATTATCATTATCACTTTTTCAGGAAGTTTTTCTACACTGCCGGGTTCTTGTCTGTGGAATGCTAGATGAGCGGTCTCGCTGTGCCCAAGGTTGCCACCGGCGAATGCGTCGGGACACGGCGGAAGAAGACACAGCTGGTCTACAGAACCAGGTGCTGACAGGCGGTCCGATCCTCATTGACTGGGGGGAATAGTAGGGACCCAATACTTCATCCCTGGCCCTCGGCTGGTCTCCTTGGAATTTCTCCCCACACCCTCAACATCCGAGAAAAATCTACCTTTTATAAGCCTCATTCTGTGAATTTGGGCAAACTCTGATTCTAGTCCCCAAAGCTGGCAAAAGTCACAGTACTGATGAACAGCAAGGCCCAGGAGGGACTGCCTCTTTCTTATGTTGACAGCTAAGCTGTCCACTCAGAAGCTTGCCCCATCTTCAACATTTTCCCCTGTAATAAAACAGTGTATTCGATGAAGTAGGACCATAAAAACATTTTTTTTTCAAGTTAGAAATCAATTTCAAAGAGGCAGAAATTCAAAGTTGAAATAAATTTCAAATTAGAAATCATAAAAAATTATTAAACGATAACTAAAGAACCCAAAGACTCTTTAAATATGTAAATAAGAATCATATCCAGGAATTTTAATTCAAATATAGATATTTTAGGGGGTTTGGATTTGGAAGTTTATCAGTATGCTGGTGGTGGTTATGTGCTGTAAAATCACTTCTGATTCATAGCAACCCTGTACAGGCTTTCCAAGGTTTTGCAGACTAGAAAGCCTTATCTTTCTCCCACAGAGTGGCTGGTAGATTTGAACTGCTGACCTTATGGTTAGCAGTCCAACTCATAACCCACTATGCTACCAGAGTTTCTTGGTTATCAGTATTTTTGTGTTGTTAAGTGCCATCGAGTTGGTTCTGACTCATAGCCACCCTGTATAGGATTTCCAAGGAGTGGCTGGTGAGTTTGAAACCCTAACCTATTGGTTAATCAACATGATAGTATGTAATTTTTAAAGTATGGGTTTTCTCTTGAACAATATTCTCTTTTGATGTCTTTACATTGCCTTAAGTAAAATGTTTTCACTTAGTAGATGTTAATAAATTTATTAGTATCCATCTGAGTAGTTACATGATTGAACTGTAAATAAAATTGAAGTTTGGTACCATATGTCCTCTTCTTTGGTATTCTATATCAAGAAAAAGGCATAGTACTTTATTTTGTAGGTGCTTGATAAATTTTATTGAAATAAATATGTGAACTACAGAAAATAAATTTTATCTGCAGTTAAACCCAGTGTTAACTCTGCTAATTCTTCTACGGTTTTGTAAAAAATTTATTTTCTTTATAAAAATGGCTGCGATCATAGAGAGGGAGTGGCTGGGGACTGTAGACCCAGAGAGGGAGAGGCGCTGTGTGCTGATGACTGAGGGGCAGGCTTGTGGGGTGTACCCTTTGGTGGGTTGATGATGCATGGAGGGGATTGTAATCATGGCAATGAAACAATATATGATAGGATGAATGTAAAGCTAATGTTCTCCATGTCAACTATCACATAATTCACAATAAAAACTACCAAAAAAAATGACTATAATCAGCAATTCTTAAAGAACCACAGTGAGATTAACAAAAGGAAGGGCAAAAACACAATATCTAGAGCTAGAAAATGATCTAAACTTTTTCTATAAAGGTCAGATGGTAAATATTAACTCTGATGTTGTAGTGTGAAAACAGACATAGACAATATGTAAACAAGAGAGTGGTTCTGTTCCAATAAAATATTTCAAAAACAGGCATCGGGCTCGATTTGTCTCACTGGCTGTGATGTGCTAACCTCAGTGCATTAGAATCACTTGGGGGAATGTGTATAAAAGACCAATATGTAAGCACTACCCCCAGCAACCTGTTTTTGGTTTTGTTTTTAATTTAGTGTGAATTGGGTGACGATTTGCAGAGCAGCTCAGTTTTCCAGTCAACACTTCATACACGCTTTGTTTCTTCTCATTGACTGCACTCCTCACAGGGTAACCTCACTTATCCCACTTCCTCCTGTGTTTCCTGTTTCCATTCCTCCTTTCCTAAGCCTTCTCAACTATGTCCTTAGGTAAATGCTGCCCTTTAGATTTCAAACGGTTGATTAATCTAAGGTGTGCTACCTCACTGGTGGTGTTCCCCTTATAGATCTGTCTGTTGTGGAGATCTGTCTGTTGTAGGATATAAAGCGCTGGGCCACAAGGTCATTTGGAAACTCAAGGTTGGTGGTTCAAACTCACCAGCCACTCCTCAGAAATCCCATACAGGTTCACTATGAGTCAGAACTGACTCGATGGCACTTAACAACAATTGTGGAGTCCTGGTGTGGTGCTGTAGGATCAGCACTGGACTACTAACCACAAGGTTGGTGGTTAAAAACCACCAGCTACTCCTTAGAAGCCCTATACAGGGTCGCTAGGTGTGGGAACCAACTCAACAGCACTCAGCAACAACAACAAATTGTGTGAAAACTGAACCATGGGAGTGAGTTCATTTCCAGACCTGAAGGGTGACTAAGGGCCACCAGTTGCATCTGACCAATAAGTCTTTTTGTTTTTTATGAGTTTTGAGTTTTAGTCCACCTTTTTCCCCACTTTATCCAGGACCTTCTAACGTGATCCCTTTAAGCACAGTTGGTAGTAGTAGTAGTCGGACATCATCTAGTTTTTCTGATTTTTAAGTGGATTTTTCTGTCTTTTAAGCTTCACAAGTGTTTCTAATCTGTAGTCAGAGCAGAGAATCATCATTTAGGAAATGACCAGCTGTCTTTTACACCTCTCATATTTCAGGGACCTTTTCCTAGCTCTCTCCATTGCTTCCAGGATCTCAGCATGACTTTTCTATCACTGAATAGTTAGGACTACCAAGAAAGAGGAGAGGTCACTGGAGGAAGAAAGACCTCAACAGATCTAACTCCAACTGCCCGTAACCTCCGTTGTTCTGAATCACATAAACCTCTGACCCTGCCCTCTCTGTTTTTGTTGTTGTTGTCATCTCTTCAGCACTGAGGAAAATCATGTTATCATTAGTGTAACTTACCAGGTTGTTTCTGCTTTCTTTGGACAGGAAATGGAAGCTTAATAGTGGTAATGCAATTCATCTCTTTTCAATTTTTCTAAAAAGTATACTTTATTAAATGTGAAATGCTTACTGGCAACTGAAACAGGGATCAGAGGAAAGTCATTGTCTTCCAGCGGTTGGATTCCCCAAAATTTCACTTAGGAATGTAAATTACCAAGTCCAGGAATCTCTAGGTTTGCTTTTAGTCTTTAAGCTAAGAACTGAATTTCCAGACCAATGCGTCTTCGTTGAGGAGGCCAGTCGTAAATGAAGAACAGCCTTCAAGTCACGCCATGTCTGTTTTCAATTCTCCTTGAAAAATATGACTTAATTTTTTTTAAGTGAAGAGCAGTATTTCCTTTCTCCTGCTTTATGGTATACAGACGGTGGGAGAAAGGAGGAGACAATCTGTGTTGTCGCTCAAAATTAGAATGGATGTCTTCCTCATAGCTCTTCTTTCTCCTCCTCTGCACAGATGCAGGCTGCACGTTGACTATTCATAAAGGGGCGGCAACCCAAGGTCCATACAGTATTGAACACAGTATCAGCCAGTGAATCACAGGCTACTTGAAAAATATGAAAAGAAATATAAGGTTAATACACAGGACACTCCAAGCAGTGTGAGTAATGTTGAAGAGGTAATGTATTTTCAAGGATGATGTGATATCCAGAGGACACTAGAGGCAAAATCTAAACACAGAGTTCAGAAGAACAGCATACATTAAGAAGAAGAACACTCCCATTTGACCTAATAAAGAAGAAAACGCTTTTGAGTGTCCTCCTTTTGTGGGCACCCAGGTCGAATCTATGGTTAGCAATCAGAATCTCTCATACCACAATACCCACCTCATGGAAAAACCTACCACTGTTTGTAGACTACTCCTTCAATTAATACTACGGGATCTCCTATAGTCATTTCAGTATGGATGAATAATCATTCATTCACTGAAAAATATTTGTGTGTGTTGAGTATGTTGGTTAACCACTCTGATAGGCACCAGAGATACAGAGATAAAAGGCATCAACCTTAACTTAAGGATTTCAAAATTTGACAAAGAGATGGACAGGGAAACAGATAGTTATATTACAATATAATGTAACCACATTTAATGTTATTAAATTATAGGAGCCCATATAAAGGGCCTCTATCCCTAGAACCATGGTGTGGCACTATAAGATAAGCACTGGACACCACTAAGCACAAGGTCAGCAGTTCAAACCTACCAGCTGCTCCTTGGAAAACTTATACAGGGTCGCTATGAGTCAAAACCAAATTGATGACACTTAACAACAACAAATCCTAAAGGGATAAAGCCATGAACTAAAACCATTAAAAACCACTAAACTGTATACTTTACAGGATGAATTTTAAGGTATGTGAACTATAATCTCAATTTTTAATAAGTCTCTACAGTAAAAAAAAAAAAAAAAAAAGGAATATACTACAACATGGATGGACCTTTAAAACATTACCCTAAGGGAAATCAGCCAGTCACAAAAGACCACCTATTGTAGGATTCCATTGATATAAAATATCAAAAATAGGCAAATCTTTAGGAAAGCAGATCCAGAAAGTTACTGGTTGGCAGAAGCTGGGGGAGGGGAGGGAGAAGAGGATGGGTAATGAATGCTAATGGGTATGGAGTTTCATTTTGGAGTGATGAAAATATTCTAAAATTGATTGTGGTGACAGTTGCCCAACTTTATGAACATATTAAAACTGACTGAATTATATACTTCAAATGGGCAAACTAAATAGTATATGAATTGTATCTCAATTAATCTGCTCTAACAACAAAAGAATGATCAGAGCCTTCCAATAAGAGGGAATACAAGGGTAGAAAGGTATAGGCCATCAACCCAAGTAGTTTGAGAGGACAGGAGTCAGGAGAGGAAGCAGGAGTAACTGGGATAAATACTAGAGAGACAGGCTAGGGCTAAAACTGGAAGGACCATATATCCATGCTAAGGAGTTTGGATTTAATCTTTAAGAAAGAGAAATCTACAAGGACTTCAGGCAGGGGTTGGAAATTATCTGTTTTGTGTGGTATCTTAGGCTGGGTTCTCTAGAGAAGAAAAACCAGGAATGCTTTCATGAGGGTTTATGGAAAGATAGAATTAAAAGGCAATGGAGTTTTGTTTTGTTTTGTTTTGTTTTTTCACTAACTTCTTGAAGCCCTGATAGATGACAGGGAGAGAGAGATTTATCTCAAGAAAATGGCACACAGTTATAGAGACTGGCAAGTCCCAAGACATCAGACTGGAGGTTTATCTTGATTCACATAGCTGCAGGGGCTGATAACCCCAAGACTGGCAGATCAGACAGCAGACTACTGGTTCACAGCCTACACAGGTGAATGAATCCCAAGATTAGCAGGCTGCTGATGACAGGCTGCTGGCTCAAGTCTTAAGAGCCAGAGATTAAATCATAAACACCAGATGCAGAATCCAGAGCAAGCAAAAAACTAGAGAGCTTTACCAGAACCTCCACATATATTCAATGCAGGTCACATGCCCAAGGAAACTCCCTTTCAACAGATTGGTGCTCATAACAGATGTCAACATGGTAGTGATTACATTATATATCTGTTTTCATCATGCAGAGTAGCTATATCATAACTGCAAAACCAGAATCAGGGCCCAGTCAAGTTGACACACAACCTTAACCATCACAGTCTACCCGTTGTCAACTTGGCACCTGTACACATCTTCTAAAACCATACACAATCTATAAAGAAAGTCATACGTGTACCTAACATGATACAACTAACACACATACAACAAAACATGCACTAGCCCCATTTACATCCTATTTTATAAGTGAAGAAAACAAAAGTATTTGATGCATACATACAAGGAAGAAATACTCATAACAACTGCAGGCCTTTTTTCTGCAACTGTTCATGGGTTGTAGCTGGTATTTAGACCTACCTTCTTTCACCACTCATTCTATATCCCCTTCTTCCTCAGCAAGTACCTCACCTGTTTGTGGGTGTTTGCCTGGTAGAGGTGACCCAAAACCTTCAATCCTGAATTATCTGGACAATTAATAGTCATGTTGGAATTGGGTTTCTGTGGTTTTCCACTGACTTTAATCACAGAACACGGTAATACTAAAAGATATCCTGAAGAATATGCTACATTCCACACATACTTTTCTTTACGTCCATCATGTAGTCACAATCTGATTTCTCCCCTGATAGTCAGGATCAATCACACCAGCCAGTACAGTAACTTCTTTCTTCAGTTGTTGATCCAAAGGCATGAGCAGTCCAAAGTGGCTGGGTGGACATTCGTAACTTCCAGTTCAGTGGAATACTATTGCGTCTCTAGGTGGAAGTGTTCCTTCCTTTGGAAGCAAGACCTCCAACCCACAGAGTTACAGAGAAAGTGTGATGGTTAAGGTTATGTGTCCACTTGACTGGACCATGAGGCTCTGTTGTTTCATACTTATAATGTAGTTATCCCCCAGGATGAAATGCAATGTAATCTCTTCCATGATGAGATCTACTATGAACAGTCAATCCACTACAAGGAAATTTCCTCAGAAATATAACCTGCTTTCAATATATGTGGATGCTCTTCCAAAGCTCTGCTGCTTTTTGCTGGTCTGGAGCCTACATCTGGCTCATCGTCTGACTCTGTTTCTTTGTACTTTTGAATCAGTGGCTGCCTCATTACTTCCTGATAAGGGGTGTCATTGACCTTTGCAGCCTCTCAGTCAGCAGTCTGCCATCTTACCTGACAAGATTGGATTCATTTACTTCCTCAGTCATCAGCCTTCACCTGATCTGCAGACCTTGGGTTTTTCAGCCCCTGCAGTTATGGGAGTCAGGAGAAGCCTCCAGCCTGACATCTGACCCATGCAGTTGGAGCTTGTCAGCTTCTACCATTTCCTTGAGATAAATATCTCTGTATATATACATACTCGATGGCACTTAACAACAACAACATATATACATATATAAGCTTAACTGATTTTGCCTCTCTAGAAAACCCAGCCAAAGACAAACAGGAAGCAAATATGTTGCCAGTTATTCACTAGGAGAAAAAGAAAATGATGCCCCTCCCATTTCTACTCCTTGGTTCCTGGACCCATGAATCACAGCTGTTGGAGAAGTAATGCCTTTTACTGAACCCTGATTTAGAGCCTAGACAGCCTCCTGGAGAACATTGGCCAAACTAGCTGGTGCTATAATTGTGTCTTTTTTGTTGTTATTGTTGTTGTTGTTGTTGTTAAGTGCCGTCGAGTCGGTTCCGACCCATAGCGACCCTGTACAGGGTTTCCGAGGGTGTAAATCTTTACGGGAGTAGAAAGTCTCATCTTTCTCCTGCGGAGCAGCTGATAGTTTCGAACCGCTGACCTTACGGTTCGCAGCCCGATTCGTAACCACTACGCTACCAGAGCTCCTATTATTAACTTTTTATTGTGGATTGAGTGAAGGTTTACAGCAAGATCAGTTTTACATTCAACAAATCATATACAATTTCATCTCCGTGATTACTATCTCTTCTATGAGGCAATTGTTATTCCACTGCCTCCCTGTGGTTCCTATTTCCATTTCATCCTCCTTCCCATCCCTTCTCAACTTTGTCTTTAAGTAAATGTTAACCTTTTGAATGATTAAGCAATCCATGGTGAGCATACTTTACTAATGTTGTTTCCCACCCTATACTGCTTGGCTGAAAATCAGGCCTTAATAGTGGGTTTCATTCCAGACCTGAAGGGTGGGTCAAGGGATGGGCATAGTCTTGGGTTCCTCTACTCTCTTTCTTACCCATAATCCTGCTTCTTTTTTTGGTATAATTTTCCGTTTTGTTCCACATATTCTCTCACTGTCTCTGGTACTTTCTAATGTGATATCTTTCAGAGTAGTTGACAGTGGTAGCCAGGTACCAAATAGTTCTTCTGGTCTCAGAGTTGTGGTGACTGATGTTTCCTGCTTCATTGGTCCATTGGACTAGGTGATTCCAAGCATCTTCAATTTTCATCACTCTGCTTTCTCCCAGACATGGAGAGACCAATTGTTGCACCTTAGATGACTGACCACTCATGAACTTTTTAGATCCCAGTATCTACTCACCAAAGTAGTATGTAGAACATTGTCTTTGTGGATTATGTTGCCATAATTGTGTTTTTAGAAGACCATTACATCATTTTATCTAGCCAGTAATTTCAGGATGATGGAATATTCAATTCTAACTCATAACGAACCTGTATAGGATTTCCAAGGAGCAGTTGGTGGGTTTGAACTGCCACCTTGTAGTTCAAATTGACCTTGCAGTCCAGTGTTTATCCTACAGGCTGAAATCGAGTCAGCCTTGGTGAATAGAAGTCCATGTTGCTGAGCCCATGTATAACCTCCATCAATGCCATGTGACCACTTTATACATGAGCTCATCAGCTACTGACAAGAGCAGTTGGGTATGAGAATGACTATTTTCCACAGAATGACATCCTATCTACATGATTGCTAAACTCCTCCTCTGTGATGTCACCCTTGATTGAGCATGCACGTGAGTAACAAATATTTTCACTTCTTTGGCCGTTCAGGAGAGTTCTATC